AAATGCTGGTTCCCGGGAACGGGGACTGAAGGTGCAGCCTCCCGCCCAGTGGCACTTACCTTGGGGGCTCCCGGTCGACGGCACAGCGAGGCTAAGGCAGACTCCCTGCCTGCCCCGGCCTCACGCTGCTCCCGGAAGGGACCAGCGCGCTACTGCGGCCCCTGGGGAGAGTGGGGAACACGTGGCTCCGCGCGCTGCCCCTCTCTGCAAGCACCGCCCCCATAGCTCCCATTGGCCACAGCTCCCCATCCCCAATGCGAGCTGCGGGGGCGGTGCTTGCAGGCATGGACACTAATACTATACAAATAATAGACTACCAGGATTCTATTCTGGGTCACTTGAGCCTGAAGCCTTTGAGCCTTTCTAGGTTGGCTTCTTATCTGATTAAACGGAAAGGTTTGAAGGACACATGACAACTTCAGGCACTCTCTAGGATTCAAGTGTTCACAGGAACATTGCTGAGGAAATTTTGCAGTCAAGCCAACTGTGGACCTTTTGAATCAGTCATACTTAATCCTTGAAAGACATGGAACAATTTATTCTGAAGCAACTTGGGTACAAGTAAGAAAAAGGATCCCATGTTATAAAGTAGATGACTTAATCCAGAAAGTGGAGAAGCCATCCTAGATCTATTTTCTAATTGGGAGGAAATGAATTGTGCTAACACTGATCACAAACGACTTCAGTTCAGCACCTGAAGGAACAGGTTCATGGTACACAGCAGGAACAGGTTATTAAGATCATACACACACTCTTTAAGAAATTTAATATGGGACCTAACTAGAAGTGCTTAACACTCTATTTTTTCAACATGGCTGGGAGAGGGGACCAATATTTAATTACTCCTGTTGTCACATATCTAATTTTGTGTTTGCTTTCTGGCTCTCTTGCAGGCTACCAGCATCATCCACATTAGCGAAAAGTTACCTGGTTCCTGCACTTTGACCCCTAGGGTCTAGCAAGTGAAGATCATAATACTGCACCGTATGACAGACCTAAGTTCAGGAGTAAAATGTACTCACTAGATCACACAAAACAATGTTATATAATCATACTTTAAAAAACCACCAAGAAATCCACTCACCTCACAATAAAATATCTTTTTCTCAGATTCTTGTTTAACATCTTCTGGTTTAGCATCATCCACATTGGTGGTGCTCATCTTGTAAAAGTGGATCAGAGCACTTTAAAAAACAATGAATTCACATCTTATTTACACATTTATTTTTTCAGCTTAAAACGATTAGTGGAAGAACACCTATATGTAAATTATTAGATACTTGAACTGCAGAAAACATCTGAATAGAACCTCTAACACAAAGCAAAAGCATTTTCTACGGTGGTCTTAATTATGCAATATTTTTACCACAAAAACAAGGACGAATATTTAGTTAAAGTCCAATAAGCTACTAAAAGATATTTGATCTTATTTGTTCACTGTATCTATCTTAGACACATACACTTCTTTGTAGTTATCTGTAGTTTTATGGCTTACAGTCTTTTACAAATTGAAACGAGGAATACGATTCATTAAATTCATTTTCTTTAAAATACTCAACTGCTCTATCACCACACTTGCTTCAGTTATATTGGGGCTTTTCCGAACAAGAAGATGCACCAATTTTTTAATTAAAGGTGTGACTGTTAAACCTATTTAGTTAAAACTGGTGCAACTTTGTGTCTGGATACTCTCATCACACGTGCAAGCTAAACTAATATGTACCCATCATTCAAGTGTTAATTTCAATATGATAAAATTCTAAGTTTGCCCACTAAAAAAAGTACGTTACTTATTGCTATATTAGCTAAAAATGTATTTTGGTACCATGTAAATATCCATGGTGCCTATGTTTTTCTATAATATATCTCACATTCAATCTGTTTTCATACAACTGTGTGCCAAGTTATCTGCATTTTATTCTGTTTTACTGACATCAGTAAAAGTATCAGGTATGTGTTACAGTTAAGGTGATCACCTGCATAACTGGCAATTGCTGATAGCTTTCAAGCCCAAGGCAGAAAAACGGAAAGTTATAATTTCCTGTTTCTTTTCAACACCAGTCCTTTTACACATTCTTCTATATCAGAAGTGAGATAATGATTTGTAAATACCACTATTACTCAGTATTAATAAATTTAGCCATTATTAATCAGGCTTAATAAATCCTGTCTTCTCAATGAAGAAATATTAACATAGTCAATTCAGAAGTACACTGAATGACTACATTTGAAATATTTTCACTGCTTGATAGTTAACAGGAAACAAGAATTATCATCCATTCACTGAAACCAAAGCTAACCAATATCCCAGCGGACACCTCCCTGCCATGGCAAGGGAAAACTAGCTAGCTGGCGATGGTGATAGTTACCTTTCGCCACCATAGCAAGGTTGGGACCAAGATATCAGTCCAGCACAATTGAGTGGTGGCAGAGATCATAGGCATCCCCCCACAGGACTGTGACAGTGGAGAGTGAGTAGCTTCACTAGAGCAAGTGCATTGGGCACCACTATCAGCATGGTTCTCAGGAGGTGTTAAGCAGGTCCGGATTACCAACACAAAAAACAAAGTGCTGGGGAGTGGGAGGATCCTCCTTTCCAACCCCTGAGTTACACAGTAATATAAAAAGGCCATAGTCACCAGCTGGGGGAGAGAAGGAGAGTAGAACTCAGAGCCTCAGGCCAGAGGAGATGGGAGGGCGTCAGAGGAAGGTGGATGCTACAAAGAGACAAGAGCCACTGTAAGCTAGGAGACTGACAACAGTACAGTCCCCCATGCCGTGCCCTGCCCCCCAGGCTTCTGCCACAGCCCCTCCCCCATCTCCC